TTATGTCAATAAATAATTAATAACAATAATAATAATAAATTAATAAAATCATTTATAAAGTTTTACATTAATATATTTAAAAAAAATATAGAGAAGGAAAATGCTTAAATTGCAAGGACATTGTTATCCCAACTCTATATCTGTAAGGATATGAAAGAGAGAAAAAAAACTTAAAATAGGAACATTTTTTAAAACAAATTTTGCACTGGACTTGAAAAATCTCACTGGACCCTTAAGGGTTCTGTCCCAAACCGCAAGTGCAATGCACCAATCACACTATCTTATTGTTTTACAAACGATAAGCATAGTATGATTTCTCCCAAAAAGTGATACAATGACGCCGTAATGCAAACACGATACAACTCAAATAGACCTTAAATCACTTTGAGAAGTTAAGCAAAATCTTTATTTTTTTTTCTTGAATTTAGTGAAAATAGTGTATTAAGCAAAAAGATTTTGCAAACAAATTAAACACATTTTAAGGATGGTTAATATTGTATTTATAGTCATTTTTTATAAAAAAAAAAAAGTTGCATCCTAAAAATAAGAGGAGATAAAAATTCTTAACTCAAGTAAATCTTGAAAGAATCATTGCAATCAATACAATAAATCAATATAAATTAATATTGTTATGTTAAAATTTAAACTGTAAATCTGTTAAATAACTGCGTAAACCAAGAGCTAAGCCATGGTTTGTAATAATATCTTTCATTAAATGCATTGGAAGAAAATTTTATTTAATATAATAATCTTAAAAAAATATGTTTAGGACACTCATTAGCAAAACCTAAACAATGACTAATGACCAATGACCAATGACCAATTTAGTTTAATTAATTGATGAATTCTACAACCCCTGTACAATTAATTTATACTTGGTGCCTTTTCCTTTCTCCCATAAATAAATCTCATGAAGAATATGACTTTGAATGCAATAGAGCAATTAGACTACATTTTAATTAATTAAACTAAAGCATTTCTTAGAAACTTGCTAAGCATTAACCTAAAGAAATGCAAAAGGGTATGAAAAAGTATACATTTAGACAATAATTAAATCTTTACAATTGGCAAAATTAATAGGGTTTTTCCTCCCCAACTAACTTCTTAATGTGAACTTGTAAAGTAATATAAATTTTATTTTATTTTATTTCTTCCATTGTTTTCAAAACCAACTCATTTAAATAGTAATAGTTTTACATATGGGTGAGAAAAAAATGAAAAATTTGAAAATTGATTCAAATTCACAGCGTTCGATTCAGTTCAGATCTTTTTTTTTCTTATTTAATTCGAATTAAGTTTAGATATTAAATATATATATATATTAAGTTCAAATTAGATTTCAAATTTAGAGATAAAAATTGAAAAAAATCAAATCGTGTCGAATTATATATTTTTCTTAATTTTATATATATTTTAAATTTTTATAAATTAAAAATAATAGTTTTATATCAAAATCTACTTAAATATGTTAAAATAATATATAAAAAATAAAAAATTGATAAACTAAATCGAACAAAACTGAATTAATAAAATTCGATGCAATTCAGTTCATATCGAATGAAAGTTCAATTTAAATTTAAATTTTAAGTTTTTATAAATATTATATAACATAAAAAAAAATCAAATTAAATCTGATTCGAATCGACCATCATTACCACTAGTTTTTCATACAATCTAAAGTCAAATGAAAATATGGGAGAATCCACCTAAAGGAAAGGAAAGCAAGAGATTGTTGAAAATCAAAAAGCAAGACAGGAAAAAGGTGGTAAGTGGTCAAAAAATCATGAACAAGATTTGCAATTTAGGCCTCAACTTTTTTTTTGCCTTTAACGTGAGCTCAATGCCATCCCAAAGTTTCCCGATTGTCAAATTGGGATGGCTGCGTTCTGATGTTCAAATTGCATGCTCATACTCAAAGATTTCCTTTAAACACTCCTTTCTCACGTGCAATATGAACTTTTATTTATTTTCTTAATAATTGTTTATGATCTAATATCAAATACAAATTTTTTTCGAAACAGTTAAACTTTAAATTAACATTTTTTTTATATAGGCATAATTCTTAACATTACTATTTCTTATCTTATTAACTTTTATAATGTTTCATTTGAATATTTGACTCATTCGTTGATGCATGTATCTTGATAATCAAATAGCATAATTTGAATCTTTCTTTTTATAAAAAAAAAATCTATATTGTCGCTTTGTATTTTAGATAGTAAGATTACAAGAGATAATCCCTACAATTTTTTTTTTAAAAAAAGGAAAAGCATATTATTGTCGTATTTTATTATGTTCTTTTATTAAAAAAAAAAAGGATAAGAATGTAATGAAATAACTCAGACACATTGTTGAGTTCAAAACTCTTCTTTGAACTTAAAGATTGATAAACTATATAATAAGAATTAATTTATAATTAATTGACTAGTCATATATCTGTTTATATATATATTTAAGCTGACAATTAATTAGGGATGTCAATTTTATCTATATCTAATAAGAAATTCAATTTTTTACCTTAATAAGATGAGATGTGTATTATATTATGGATATAAGTATGGGTATAGAGATTTGTACGATTTTAAATTTTTATTGGGTACAGAAATGAAGATAAGTAATATAACAGCTGCCCCATGCCTATATCTTATATATATTAATATAAATTTAGTAAATAATTTTTTATTAAATAATATAAATTATTATTTTAAATTAATTAGAAGTAATATATTTTTATTGAAAAAATATATATTAATATATTTATAAAAAATTACTTAAATAAACAAGATAAAATTAAAAAAATTAAAAAATATATTTTTATTTTTTTAAAAAAACTATGAGTATGAAAATTATTCATACTCATTAAATACCTCCAAAAATAAAAATAAAGATAAATTTAAAATACTTATTAGATATAAAAATATGAATGGATATAATATAAAAATTTTGAATACGGGAATCGTGAATGGAAATGAGAAATGTTTTACCCTTCCCATGCCCTATAATTAACCCAATGAAATGGTCAACTTTACTTAAAATACACTCAATTTAGTTGGAATTAGACAAATATTTTTTATTGTTGCACTTGGGTTCGGCTTACTATTTATTTGAACAAAGTCTAAAAAAAAAAAAAAATTAATGCGTGTATTAATGTCATTTTTTAAAGGTTTTATTAGTTTTTATGAATTATTTAATGAGTGTGCAAAAATTAAAGATGTTGAAGATTTATTAAACTTTAGCTGCAGCTGTTGGGAACTTAGTAAATAAAACCTCATTTTCTTTAAAGTTAATATAATTTTTTTCCCTTTGAAATTATGAAATATAATAGTTAATTAACTTTGATTAATTCAAAATTAAACTTAAGATTAAAATAATAATATATATTAAATATATATTAATTATTTAATTAATCCAACACCAACCAAAATTCTTTAAAGTTCCAATCTTGCACTTAACCATTTTAATCAATCCACTTAGTATTTTCACTCCTGTTTATTTCTAGTACTTTCTCTCCTTTATTCTTTCCATTGTTGGACTTTCCATACTTTTGTAAATATCGAATACAATCATTTTCAAAGATAATACAAGAAGAAGTCTTGAATTTTGCTTAAATTTGTAATTAAATCCTCCTATTTTATAAATCACCATGTATATGTAGTGCAAATAAAAGCATATTACTTGTAATTACTGCAAATAATTAATCAATTAATCAAATTAAATTTAACATCTATATGAGGTTTATCAAAAATATCTATAAGACTGATACTTTAAAATAATAAATTCTTACATAATTTTTTTTATTATGATTGATTAATTATAAAATTATAGCATAGATAATTGTAGGTAAAAGCAAACATAGCTACCCTTTTTTTTTTTTTTTCAAGTCTTCTTATGCAAGTATGAAAAGAAATTGCCTCTCAATACATGACTCAGCAAATGAAGAATAAAAAATAGAAAAATACTAATAAATTAACATAACAAATAATGCATTTATTATATAATATATATAATTGAATGAATTGAATCATTTTGAATTGGATTATTTAAAAAAATTTTGAATGATTTTAAATTTAAATAATTTTAGATTTAAATCATTTTGAACATAAATTTTTTAATTTTAATACTCAAATTATTTATAATCTAAAGCATTTTGAATAAAAATTGTCGAGCTTAGAGACAAGTAAATATAATTTGGAATCATTTTATGGTAGTCTTTTACGTTGCTTTTTTTTTTTTTTTTAATTATGGCCTTTTTATTAATAAAATTAATTTGGGTCAGATTCGGGCATTAGAAGAACTTTTCAGATTCTGATAAGCTTTTGATAAATCTAGCCATAGGCATAGCTATCGTTAAACAGGTCCCCGATAGTTGATGAGGCAGGATCCCCGTAGCTTCCTCCACTTTCAAATCTTGAAAGTAAGAGCAATTATTTTTTAAAATTAAAAAAAAAAAATTATATGAGACAATTACATTTTATTGATATATCATATTAAATATTATTTTTTATTTAAATAATGCTAAATAATTAAATTATTAAAAAAAGTTATTAATATATTCTTTATTAATTTTAATAAATTAATTATTTAATAATATAATTATATAATATAATTTAAATAAAAAATATATACGTTGACGTAGCCTAATTATTTTATACAATTTTTTTCTTGACTTGGTCCTCTCTGAAAAGAGGATAGTACTAATAAATAAGCTGAATGACAAGTTAAGAGCCAACTGACATTGACATTGACATTGACAAGGATGGTATCCTTCTCCACATAACTCCGGACTGCAAGCTTCCATTTTCACATTTAACAAATTTCTTTTGACGATCATCACCATAATATAATAATTTTAAGCTTTTCCCGTCGTTTCTGTTTCTTGTTCAAGTCCAATGAGGGAAGATGACAAACAGATTGTTTCGCCAGAAAAATAATTTTTTCTGTCCTGGTCGGTCTTCCTACCTTGTATTCGATTTTCTTTGTTGCTTTTTCTTTGTTTTCCACTCGTATTTTCCCCGTTAAGATTCAAGGGTGTTTCCATTTCTTGGTCTTTTTCTCAGTCTTTGTACTCCGATCCTCAGGTTAAGTTCCTTCTCTTTTCTTGGACCTTGAATTTTTCTTGTTATTTTTTCTTCTTTTTACACTTGTATATATATATGAATCTATTTCTGTTTGTTATTTGTATTTATAATCTGTTTAATCTTCCATATGAATTTGCAGCCCCTTCTCTGTTTCTGCCAAACCCCTGTTACTGTTTGACTCTGTTTAGACGCTGGAAAATCCTCTGTTTTCAGCTTTTTCTTTGTTTTTTTCTCTAGACTTTTAATTCGTTGAATCCTTTTCCCTGGAAATTTGTTGATAACTTTATTTATTAAGAACTATTCGATCTTTGAGAATGCAAAACACTGACGGCAGAAGCTTTCCTGAGCTTGTATCAGAGCTAGAAACCTTAGTGGAAGAAGTAGCCTCACTGGCAAAAGAATCAGAAAATGGGCTATTCTTTGAATTCTCACTTCTTCTCAATAAACTTGTCCCAATTTTGAGTGATATAAGGGATAACAAAGATGTCATGGACACGGTTACTATCCGAAAAGCAATAGAATCGCTCGAGAAAGAGCTTAGACGTGCTAAGACTTTGATCGAAAGCCCTGATTCGAAACAAGCAAATATATGGATTGAAGATGTGATACAGGATATTGGGAGATCCGTAGGCCTTATGCTCTTTGCTAGTATTGATCTTCATTTGGATATGAAAGAGAAAATTGGTGCATTGCATAAGGAATTCATGAATGTGAGGTTTGATGCAAGCTTAAGCCCAAGTTCTAGTCCAAGTCATGAATCCGAGTTTGTTAGTGCTACAGCATCAGAGAGAGAAATTGAGGAAGAAAGAATAGAAATTGAGGAGGAAGGAACCAATCTTACTATCAATGATGTTGTCTTGCATCTGAAGTATGGTAATGATGAAGAATTCAACTTTGCGCTCTTCAGCTTCAACGAGTCTGTTAGGCAAGGATTGATTACAAATGAATGGATAAATGAAGAAGGCATTATTCTCATTCTAGTTAATAGGTTGGGATCATGTAAACCAAACAACCGTTTGATCATCCTTCAGATACTGAGAAAACTTGCTTTAGAAAATGCCGAAAACAAGGTAAACTATACTTGTGACATATTCTTTTGATCTTTTCTTTCCATTATTTATTCTGTTTTTTCAATTGGAAAATTTTTCTTGTTAACAGGAGAAGATGGCAGATGCTGCATCTTTATCAGCATTGGTGAAATCTTTGACGCGAGATGTGGAAGAGAGGAGGGAAGCCGTGGGGCTGTTGCTTGATCTGTCAGATCTTCCTGCAGTTTGGAGACGGCTTGGCAGAATTCAAGGTTGCATTGTTATGTTAGTTACCATGCTTAACGGCGATGATCAGATTGCTTCGGAAAATGCAGGGAAGTTGTTAAATGCATTGTCAAGCAATACACAAAATGCGCTGCATATGGCAGAGGCTGGTTACTTCAAGCCACTAGTGCACTACTTGAAGGAAGGTAACACAAAATTACCTTTTACTTGCTGCATTTGAGTGCTTGAATCTTGACTCTTAGATGCATCCATTAAAATGCATGTAACTAAACTTGGATAAAAGCTGATATGTAATTCTATCGTACTTCTATTCAAAGGCCTAAGTTACCTGTTAAAAACATTGCCATGTTTTGCCAGGCTCTGACATGAGTAAGATCCTCATGGCAACTGCAATATCAAGAATGGAGTTGACAGATCAAAGTAGAACTTCCCTTGGAGAAGATGGAGCAGTTGAACCTCTTGTTAAGATGTTTAATGCTGGAAAGCTTGAAGCCAAGTTATCTGCTTTAAATGCATTGCAAAATTTGTCAATTTTGCCGGAAAATATACAACGGTTGATCAGTTCCGGCATTGTAGTTTCTCTACTTCAACTCCTTTTCTCTGTCACATCTGTGCTCATGACTCTTAGGGAGCCAGCTTCAGCAATTCTTGCAAGAATTGCTCAGTCGGAATCTATTCTTGTTAATCAAGATGTAGCACAGCAAATGCTCTCCCTTTTAAATCTCTCAAGTCCTGTAATTCAGTATCACCTCCTACAAGCACTGAATAGCATTGCTGGCCATTCTAGTGCATCCAAAGTTAGAAGAAAAATGAAGGAAAATGGTGCAATTCAGCTCCTTCTACCCTTTCTAACCGAAAGTAACGCGAAAATCAGGACTGGAGCATTGAATTTACTCTACACTCTTTCGAAATATTTACCTGAAGAATTGACAGAACAGCTAGGAGAAAGCCACCTGAACATCATTGTCAACATTATCTCATCAACCTCATTGGAGAGTGATCAAGCTGCTGCAGTTGGCATACTGAGCAACATACCAATTAGCAATAACAAAGTGACAGAGGTTCTTAAAAAGGCAAATCTGCTGCCAATTTTGATATCTACAATGACTTCGAGTCCTTCAACCTTGACATCCACATGGCATTGGTTAGCAGAAGGTGTTGCAGGTATATTAATTCGATTTACGATTCCTTCTGATAAAAGACTACAGCTTCTTGCAGCACAGAATGAGGTGATTCCTTTGCTTGTGAAGTTGCTTTCTAGTGGATCATTGGTTGCTAAATGCCGAGCTGCTACCTCACTAGCTCAGCTATCACAGAACTCACTATCTCTCCGAAAGTCGAAAAAATCAAGCTGGTTCTGTGTCCCCCCTTCTACTACTGCATTTTGTGAAGTCCATGATGGCTATTGCTTTGTTAAGAACACATTTTGTTTGGTAAAGGCAGGTGCAATTCCTTCACTAATCCAAATATTGGAAGGCAAAGACAGGGAAGCAGATGAAGCTGTTCTAAATGCGATTGCAACACTATTGCAGGATGAAATTTGGGAAAGTGGAAGCAATTTCATTGCCAAAAAATCAGGTGTTGGAGCAATTATAAAAATCCTGGAATCAACAACTGTGAAGGCTCAGGAAAAAGCACTGTGGATATTGGAAAGGATTTTCAAAGTTGAGGAGCATAGAGTAAAGTATGGGGAATCTGCTCAGGTGGTGCTCATTGATCTAGCTCAGAATGGTGACCCCAGATTAAAATCATCAACAGCAAAATTATTGGCACAGCTTGAACTCTTACAAGAACAATCTAGTTACTTTTGAGAGTGCAATTTCTACTATATCAACTACTGTTTTCTGCATGTCAATTTCTATACTTTGTTTTCTTTGTTTATACTTATTTTGCGTATCCTATAAGTGTTGTTTGGTCATTTTAGGATGAATCATAAGAAAACAAACATTCCTGTTGTAAGTAAAATAATAGCACTCGAGCATTTAGCTTAATAGTAAATATGTGATAATATTCCTCTGATCAAATAATTGAGATTAAATTTTTTTTCCTCCAATTAATAATAATAATAAAGGAAATTTGTTGATTTTTTTTTGTACAAATAAAAGGATGATATATTGTTAATTAAGTAAATTTGGCTATTAGTACTGATAATTCTTTTTTATATTTGAAGTTATTAAGATTTGAACGAAATCGTTAAAATTAATAATTTAATATTTTATCAATAGATTATGTTGGTTGGTATTTACAATTCAAGCCAATATAAAATTTCTCCATTGTCAAACATTGAATAAAGATTAATACATGTTTGATATCAATTCAACAGCAGCTAGAGAAGAATTTGATAAATTACAAACAAAACATCTTATAATTTGATTACTAATCACTCACAGATACGAAAGTATATACTTTTTCTTTCTATCGCACCGATGAAAAAAAAGTATAGTTACAAACGCAAGTACTATAATTTGAGTTTAATAATCTACGTTCAAACGTCATTATAGTACTATATTACCATTTTATGAAGTACAAAATAAAAATTCAGCAACGGAGACGAACGTTTCAGATGCAATTTCACACTGCCATCTGATTGCTCCTTATTCTAGAGATCGAAGCAAGCATCCCACAGCCAGCAGCAGCATAAAGCAAAGAGACTGCAAAATATATGATTTAGATGAAAAATAAATGTTCATTTTGAAAGAAATTTCAGGAGAAATTTATTATATAAACTATCTGTTCAGCTTTTAAATTTTATATTGACAGTATATCGAATATTAATTTTATCGCGTATTTTAATTTAAAATAATATATCCTATATGTGGCAACTCTCTTACTGTGCTTGTGGAATTTAATCAATGGTGAATAAGATAATAAAAAAAAATTGTTAATTTGAAGGTGGTAGAGTTGAAGACTTACCATCCTTCAATGAAGCTTCTGTTCCTGCCGTTGCCCTTGTTTCTTGTCACCGGAGGACAACATGCTGGAAGACATATATACAAGCATTAAAATCGACAAAGATCCATTTGAAAGACAGAAAAAAGATGATCAATATGTGACATTGAGAGATCACCAGCTGATTTGTTGTCGCTTGTTGGTTCTTGGTTTTTGTGATTTCCCATGGAGAAATCAAGACAAGCTCTGGCTAGAAGTTATGAAGTACGATTGGGTTATGGCCTTGTCAATCTATGATTCTGATCAACTTCCTTGGCCCCAATTTACATACTTATAGAAGAAAGAAAAGCATTTTTTTCGGTTTTTTTTTTTTTTTTTTAAAGCTGGCGAATTCTGGACAAATCTATATGCTTCTCTTGGTGTTTCTAAAATTTTGTCTTGGAATCGGATTCGAATGAACTTTTGGTAAGATAAAGCAACCATTGTTACCGTGGGAGATGCCAATTTCTCAGATATTGTTTTTGAAACCGAATTGGAGAATCACTTCAAAGACACTACTAGTATACCATTCCCATTCTGCAAGCTTCTATACCATTCGATTTTTGCGCATCTAGTTTCTAATCCATAGATTAAACTAATGCTATGAAATAAATGGATAGGCAAGTTTGAGATTTAATTTAGTTGATTCATGAAATTGTGGACACCTTATTTAATCTTAGTTTCAAGTCGATTGGGCTCAAACTCAATCTAAATCCGATTGTAAGATTTTTATTTATTTTTATTATTTCATGTTTTATTTTGTATTTATCCTTTTTACTTATTTATTTTGTTTATTTATTTTAAATATTTTGTGATTTATCTTTAATTTAATTGCATTTTTTATCATTATCTGATTAATTAAAAAAAATGATAACTTTTCAAGAAAGAAAATTTGAATGACCAGGGAAGGAGTGATTGATGGTGATAAAGTTGTTTATTAGAATTGGAATTGGATTTAACTTATACAAAGATAAATTTTAATTTTCCTTTTATGATAATACAAATTGAATTAGGATTGATTTAGAATTCTCCTAAGTTTAGTCTTATAAATAATAAAAAAAAAATCAACAACAAGAATAAAGAGTACATGGCAAATATAAAGAGTAATCAAGTACAAAAAAAAGTTTTCCAAGAAAAAGTTTATGGTAGAATTTTTTTTTCTTGTTTTAATTTTTGAAATTGAGAAAGTTTGATATGGTGTTTTTTGGAGGATTCTAAAAAGTCAAAGGGTTAGTTTAAGGTTTTAGTGAATTTTTTAAAATTTCTAGGTTTTTTTTGGAAAATTTTCAAAATTCAATTAATTTTTTGACAAAAATTCAAATTTTTTGATGACTTTTCGGTGAAAAACTCAGTTTCCGACATCATTTTAAAATTCAGTGGGCTTTTCCAAAAACCAACAATTTTTTGACAAAACTTTTTGGTTTGTGGTGTATTTTTGTAGAAACCGATAGTCATTCAAATCGGTTTTAGAAAAAGAAGAAGAGAGACTTAAAGAAGAAAGAGAAGGAGAATAGGTGGTTGAAAAAAAAATTCGACTTTATATACTTAGGATAAACGATGTCGTTTTGAGCATTAATGCCAAAGATCCACACGTTGCACCAAAAACCTGATCCAACTCATGTTGCTCAACTCGTTTCTGCCAACAATTGTCTAGTCGAGCCGGGCCTAAGTCGCTTTGGTTGCTTTCCGTGCTTGCAACCAAGCCATGATCCAAGCTCAGCCTAGCTGACCTTTTTGGTATTTTTATTTTATTTATTTATTTATTTTGGTTTGTTTATTTATTTATTCATTTATGTTATCATTGATTTAGTTTTGAAATATTTGGGCATGATTAAATTTTAGGAAATATTAGAAGAAATAATTTAAAAAAAACAATAATAATGAAAGCTTAATAAAATTTGAGAATAAATAATAATTATCCAATGATAAAATTTTTAAAATTTTAAATGATAATTTTATGGAATTTTTAAGTGATAATTTTTTTTAAATTTAATCCAAATAGAGGAAAAATTTAGATAAAATTTCAATAATAATAATTAAAATTTATTTTCAATTCTAAAAAAAGCCCAAAAACATAAATAAATTTAATAAAATTTTAAGATTGAATTAACAATTATCTAATGATGAGATTCTTAAAAATTTTAAATGATAATTTTTTTAAGAAATCTCTATGTGTGAAATTTCTTTAAATTTGACTCAAATGATGGAATAATTTAGATGAAATTTCAATAAAAATAATTGTATTATTTCTTAAATAAAAAAATTTTAAAATATAATTTACAAAGTTTGTATGAAAATATTTGACAATTATCCAATGATGAAATCTAAAAAAGAAATCACATATGGCTGAATTTCTATGAGATTTCTAGGTAGAGATTTTTTTAAATTCAACTTAAATGGTAAAAAAACTTATATGAGACTTTAAAAAATAATTATTATATTATTTTCTTTTTAAAGATTAAGAAACAAATGATGAATAACAAGAGTTTAATTTCTAAGAAAGATATTTTTAAATTTAACTCAAATGGTAAAAAATTTAGAAATTAAACTTGTAAGATATTTCTAAATTAGGCCCAAATGGTGAAAATTTTAAAAAATTTGGGCCTAATTTAGAAATAAAACTTGTAAAGTAAAAAATAATTCTCTAAGGATGAAATTTTTAGTAATCATAAATTGATGATTATCTAAGACATTTTTAGATGAAAAATATTTCTAATTTTGGCTCAACTGGTAGAAAAATTAGATATATTTTTAATAAAATAAAAATTTGACAACCAAAATTATTAAGTTTTTTGATAACAGAGTCTTTTAAAAAAAAAATTCTTGAACACTCTTGAGATAAAGAAATATTTTTAAGAATTCTACCAAATTGATGGAGAAATCTTAAGAATTATTTTTAATATTTAAATATTAAAATTTAAGACCATTAGAACTATAAAACTTTAGGATAATTTAGAATAAAGTGGTATTGTCCTTTGAATGGACGTATGGAGGTGCTATAACTTTTATTGATAATTTAGAATGTAGTGCATCCCACATTGAATAGAAAGATTTAATTATTGATGAATAAAATTAATAAAATTAATTTTTGTATTAATTTTATTCATATTTTAAATAATTATGTTTGAATACAAATAATTATCATATAACAAATTATCATAACTATTTGAATGTAAATAGATTATTATTCATAAAGATCATGATTATACAAAATGTTATAACTATTTGAATAAAAGTTTATGTCTGTTCATTCATTATAATAAATCTTTCAGTATAATCATTTTCATTGCTTCTAATTAGAGAGTTTGAGGTTTTATTGTATCCTAAAGGTATAATTGCCTTTAAAAAAGTATTTTTCACACCTCAAAGCCAAAATTTTTTTCTATTATTTCTCTTCCCTTATTTATTTTTTCTAACAATTTAAAGGCTATTATAAGAAAGTTATATTTTGCATAAGAAAGATACAAGAAAAAGAAATTGGCATGATTTGGAGATCAGTATTAGCAAAGGCTTAAGGTGTCAAATGATTAATATTTTTATGGACTAAAATATTAATTTTCATAAAAATCTTCATTAGAGGTATGTATTTTATTTTTTTGCATAATTGCTGGTAAAAAGATTGGTTGAATGTGATAAATACGTTAACAATTTATTTTATTAGTGTGTAAAGTCAAAACACAATATGCAAAATATTGATTATATTATATAAGTTTATGCATATACTGAAATTGATTCCATAATTGGGTTTAATGAATTATATTATATCTATTTGAAAAATTGATACTTATAAAGACTAGGATAGAAATAGCCTGAAAACATAAAAGAGAAAGACATGAATTGATCTGCGATCAAAAGAATTATCACTTGTTATAAAGTAATGAATTAAATTGGGTTATAATGGAATGACCGATTATTTAATTATCATGTCTTGGTTATATATAGAATAAACAAATTATCCCATGGTTTCTATGAAAATAATCAAAAATAGGTAAAGGTATTTACCATAAAAAATTAGATATAAGTGGAGAAAATATGCAAAAAATAAATTTGACTGCAAAATTAGTTTTATTTTAAATCATGGCACCAAAATTGAGATAATAAGCTGAGTTAAGCTATTTGTATGGTTCTATTTTTGTTGATCATTTATAAATCAAATGTTGATATATATATATATATTTAAAATTTATTATTGGTTTAAATTTTGGCTTGCATTCTATTTTCATGAAAATCAATTAAAATTAAACTGATATATGTAAATAATTATTATTAAGATATGATGTTTTATGAATTAATTGGTGGATAATAAACCAAATAATTGTTATTATAAAAAATATGGGCAGTGTGACAGGTATTTTTGCCTACTAGGTGCATTACACTAGAAGTGATTTTACAAAATAAAATTTTATTGTAAACAATCACAAAGTTGAAATCATAAATAATGGTTAAAAAGTTAATCAATTGTTACAAAAAAAGCATCTTGCTTTTCGTATATGGGATATTGATTAAACAAAAAGACATGTCATTAAAAAATATTGAAGCATCTATTTGTTACTAGCATTTGAAGGATGCTCGTCAATGTCTAATCAGGCATGTTTATAAATTAGAAAAGAACATGCAAATTCAATGTTCCAAAAGCACCAATACATGCATGTGTTTAATTCTATTTTATGATGGCATGGAGAACATTGGTATAGTTTATCATATATTACAAAAATGAATTGAATGAGATAGAATTTTCTTTCTTGTACATATAAGAAAGATATGGACTATGGAGATAGAATGCCATTGTCTAATTAATACATTATTGGTTAAAGACAATGAATATATTTTTACTTTTTGTACCCGAAAAAATGACCTTTTACAGGCTATTAAAATGAAATGTGAACAAGTTCCCGAGGTTTTCAATAGTTTTATGACAATGGTAAGGATGTGGCTAGTTATACACCATATTAACATATGAGCTTAGATAATAATATTGGTTTATAAAAGTCGTAAGCCTTAGAGTTAGCCAATTAGTGATTTAACCAATGCAAATTCATAATGAATTTTTGCATGAAATGTGAGTAGAACTGATATTATAATTATTGTTTATTCTATCTTATGAAAATGATTCTTTGGATTCATGTTTCATGACTTATATTGATATGATGATCTAAACATGAACATATTGATCACAAAATATTATGAAAGTATTTAAAATTGGAGTTAAAAATACTATAGACTCTTATTTTACATAGGCATATTGGTCTTATGAGTAAAGTTTGAATTTATTATATATCTAAAAATGTTATGACCAATTAAAAGTGATAAATAACAAAGATATATAGATTGCACAATGGTGGAGAAATAAAATTCTCATAAAAAAATTTGAAATCAAATTTAGAGGCTTCAATAGTCACGAACTTGGAAATTGGCTACTAGGCAATTAATATATGCATTGAAAACTCATGATAATATTTGAAATAGTTGGTTTTCACAAAAAGCCATCATTATAAATGACATAACTTCAATAGCTAAATCTACATGATTTGTAGGTATGACGTGGATTATTATGGTTGGCTTAAATTAGCTATAAGCTAAATTTGATGCCACAATCTTGATCATGTTAAGATAAT